CAGTTGGATGAGGTCCCAGAGGCCTTCCAAGAGACCTGCATGTTCCTTGGCTTCTTCTTCACAGGCCTGAGCTGCCCTCTAAGTCTCTCCCTGATGTGAAAGGTGGTGCTGGTCAGGAAGCAGGTCCTATTATAATAGAAGACCATTGCCAGGATGCTCTGTTTATCCAGTTTCCATTCATGATAACTGTGACCAACAAAGCTGGTTGGGTCCACCCATAACAACCAAGAAGTTCACACACTCTTCTAGTGGACAGCTTTCTAATGCACTCACATGTCACATGATGTTTCAGTCAGGGACAGCCCATGCCTCCATTTGTGGTCCCATAAGATTATAATTGCCCAGAACATCAGAGCTATCTTAGCTTCTTAGTAACTGTACTCTGGTTTCCCACAATGACATTTGCTAAGACCTTATCTAATACTGAAGTGATTCATGATTATGCAAAAGTATCAAAATTCTGTTCCAGCTAAATTTTCTGTTGTGAACCATGAAAAGCCTTGATTATTTTGGCTACAAGTAGGCAGTGCTGGTCTTACTATATGTTGATATATTTTCCAAACTAAAGTAAATTCTTAGGTTTGGCCTAGAATCCACTGTTACCTCTCCACTTCTCTTTTCCTCCTATGGATGCTGTCTGATACAACAATGACAGTTATACTAGAGAGATGGCAGAGTGAACAGAAATGCTTTGCAAGGACCAGCCTTTCAGCATAAAGTCGCATAGAGGAACACTACAGCCCAGGTGCTTGGGCCTATCCCCACAGATTCTAATTGAATGGGAATGACAATGTTTTCACTGTTATAATTTTAGTTTTGGAAACTTCTGGTTGGACAAGGCAATAGGGATCCCAAAGAAATCAAAATCATTACAGTAGGAAATAAAGAAGAAATATTTTTGTGGGGAGGTGAGGTATGATCAGGGCCTTAGAGGGAAGGGCTGTAGCAGGTCTTGAGTCCTCCAATGAGAGAGACCCTCTGAACCAGGCTGCAATCCTGGTGAGTGACAACCCCTTGCTCAGCCTTGGGGGCCATGTGAATAGAAAAAGGCTTCCAAGGAAGCTCTGCCCACCTCTGCCTTGGCAGGCTCACATGGCTGAGTCTTCTCCTTTCACCTTCACTTGTACTTTAGAAAGTCAATGCCCCTGTACCTTGATAAGTTCCCCATCATGATCCAAAGAACTAGTGAAACCCTGGGGGAAAAGAATGAGTGCCAAAGGTAAACTTTGGCCACTTCTACCCAACATGGAATTCACAGGGTCCAGACTTCTTGTCCCCTCTGAAACAAATTCAAAAAGAGGGAAAAAGATAAGAAATGTCAATCATTAGAAATTTAAATTGCTGAGAGAAGCCAGACCAAAGAAAGAACAGCTCACTGGCCAGATGAGGAGTCTCCAAGCCACAGAGCAGGAGAACAGCTGGGCAAGGCAGTAGTGTCCCCAAGCAGAAAGGACAGAATTGGTACCTAAGGAGACATGGCAACTAGAGGTCACAGTGCAGAAACCAGACTGAAGCAGCCTCCCAGATCTGGGCTATGGAAAGAGGGAATCGAGAACTGGGTGGGGTCCAGGAGTTCTGGCTCTGCCCCTCTTCACCACATGGCCTCCTGGACATCCAAGTGTGGCGTCCATCCTCTACCTGAAACAGAAAAGCACCCAGATAAATGTCCCCTGGAGGGCTGGACATGTGGTTTCTGTCACCATTGTCACTTTTACTCCCGCAACAAGGATTCACTACCAGAGAGGGTAGGAGTGGAACAATGGGGCTCTAGCCTGTCCTCTGATTTTTAACTTCTTGTCCTGTTTGCACTTGGTAGAAGAAATGGCAGCAGTATAGCATAGTTTTCTTGAAGTTATAGTAAAAACAAACATTTAAACTACCTTAATATCAGAAGAAATCAATGAAACCAAAGGACACATATAGCCCACCTGAGAGGAAGGAAGAATGGGCACATCTCATCCCTGCAGAGACTGGAGCTGCAGCTGCATCTGACAGCTTTGTACCTGCACCAATGTCGCATTGCCTTCTGCCTCTGGATTCCCAAGAGAGACGCCCAATTCAGGTCTGTCTACACAGTATAGGCTCACTGTAATGGGCTCCCTGCTGGCCCTTCTTACCAATGACTCCTAGGCCTGAGGCTTTCTATGCATTCCCTAAAATCCTTCCAAAATGGGGTCCAACCACCTCCCAGGCCTCCTTAGCAACTGTGTTGCTCATCACTTTCTAGACCAAAAATGGAGTCCTCATGTGGAATTAAGCCCTCTCTACAATCTTTCCACCATTAAATTCCTTTACTACCTATCTTCTAAATGCCCTCTCTTTCCTCTTTATCTTGTATTTCCTGTCAAGCTGGTTTCATACATTTGTATCTCATTAAAAATGACCTATTCTTTTTTAATATTTATTTTTAGTTATATAGTTAGACACAATACCTTTATTTTATTTATTTTTATGTGGTGCTGAGGATCGAACCCAGGGCCTCACACGTGCTGGTGAGTGCTCTACTGCTGAGCCCCAACCCCATACCCCAAAATGACCTATTCTTAAAGTCAGCTTAAAAACTAACACCATCTGTACTCTCAGCTACTCAGAGGTTCAGGCAAGAGGATCGCTGGAGCCCAGGAGTTGGACAACAGGCTGTGCAAAAAAAAAAAAAAAAAAAAAAGCAAAACCCTGTCTGTAAAACAAAACAAATCTGTGCTCTGTTCCCAGATCAGTCACCCTCTGCAGCCTGGCAGTGCTAAGGCCCATTATAAGATGGTATCATGTTCCCTGCCCCTTGCCCTAATCCCGCTGCACTGAACACCTCAGGAAGGCAGGGTCTTATCCAAATATCCAAATATTTACAAATACTAAGCTGACTTCTTTTTATCTTGCAAAGTGTTTATGTTATAGTACTTAGTCTACGACGTGGTCATAAGGCACTGGTCTATGGATAAAGCTTCATTCATTCATTCATGTGTTCAACAAAACATTATAAAGTGGGTCCTCCATGTCAGGGAATAGGAACCTGGGGAAGGAGATCTATCAACAGCTTTTTGAATAAGTGCTCAATGTAAACCAAGCCATCCACTAGCAAATTGGTAGGAGAGAAATAAACCAGGGTCAGGTCCTGACCTATGGGGGACACAGATGTGAGCACCTGGAAAAAGCAGAAGGGAAGTGGGTGAGGATGGAGATGGGAAAACCGAGTCAACTGCACTGGCAATAAGCAGCCTCAGGTGCTGCAGAGGGTTTCTCAGTAGCATCAGGGTGTGAGAGGTGCCCTGCAGAAGGTGTCTGTCCAACAAAGGCCTCCAGACCAAGGGTTAATTCTGGATAGGAATGATGTAGTCCTGTCTTAAGATGGTCAGCCTGAATTCTTTTTAAGGATGAGGACACCAAATGGAGGTCCTTTTGTGCCCCTAAGGAGCATTCTGATTTCTTTCCCCAGCTACCTGGCTAGTGACATGGAGGAGGATAACCGGGCTCCTACACAAGACATCATTAGTTTCTTCTATGGGAAGAGCTATACCCAGCATCCCTTGTGCCACAGACCATGCTACCAATCATCTGCTCCATGGGCTGGAAACGCGAGTTTCCATGGAGGAATGTGTGGAGGTGGGTGCAGCCATGTGTGCTTGAAGAGAGGGAAGGGCTGGATAGGACAGGCATGGGAAAGCGAGTAGTTGCAGGTGGGATCTGGGGAGAATTCTGTGGAGGCTGCATAAGGAGGGAGGGTCTTTCTGGTCATCCATCTCCTTTTGTGGTATCACCTTTTCTTTCCAGATTCAAGCTATGATCCAGAGCTCTGGGTTTGTGCAGAGATCACACTCTCATGCCCTAGAAGTTCTGGAACCATGGAGGCCTATGGTCATCGGCCTGAGGGAAGGTACAAAATTCTGTATCCCTGGCCTGCTGACAGGGTCATTCATTATCTATTTAAGAGATCCAAAGGACCCAGCTGCTGGATGCCCTTCTGTCACCTCCCACCCATAGCCACCTTCTGCACACCATGTAACACCACAGCCACCTTTTGCACACCATGCAACACCATAGCCATGCATACACAGCCTGAATCTCCCAGGCAGCTTCATAGCCTCAAAACCACAACCACACAGAAGACCTCCTAGAGATGTGCTGGGTGCTATGAGGGTGCTTGGCCAGACCTGAGAGAGAACAGTTTGTCTAAATGTGCTAGAAATCCTTAACTCAGAGAATTAGGCCCAAATGTCAGCAGTGATGAAAAGTTGTTTTCGGTCTAAAGTGAATAATTCTTAGCCATGAGTTTCCCTCTCTCCACATAAATTAATTGCCTTTTTACACTTTTCATTCATTTGGATCATTCTTCCCTAAGGATACCAAGTATGGAGATTTATTTACAACAATGTGAATATGACACAGTAGGATATTCCATGCAACTGTTCACATATTCCACAACGAAGATACTCTCATTAACTCTATTTTCATTACAGTTTGCTCACAATAAAATGGCTTATGGCCAGAACTCACTTCTGAATATATGCTGCCCACTGACTTATTACTTCTGGACGAAGCTCTCCTCTTATATATTCAGACTTTTCCCTGTCAAGTTCATGGTCAAGGAAGTTTTTCAGAACCACAGGGGGTTAAGAAATACCAGCTTCAGGACAGATTCTTACGCAGAACACAGTAGAGTTTGAACTTGGGCAGAGGATGAAGCAAAGATTTTATTTCAACCACATGGAGGCAACCAAGTTAGGAGCAGGCACTATGGGGACAAATGAGAGGATTGGGCAGGGATCCGGCACCTGGTCTCCTGGTTCTTGGTGTTGATGTTAGTGATGTTTGTCACAAAGTTAGTTCAAATGTGAAGTAACTGGCAAGCATCATGGTGTGAGTTAAACAAAGGGGAAACTTACAGCCACTGCACTTTTCACAAAGAGCCCTGCTATCTCTGATCTACCCATTCCTGGAGGACTCAGAACCCATCTGCCCTCAGAGATTCTTAGAAGATGGATGCTTATATTAGAAATGAAAAGGTCCCAGCTTGGGATCACAGAGCTTGGTTCCAATTGTCCTCACTGATTGCAGACAATGTGGCTGTAATACATTTCATCCTCCCTGAGAGGTGGTTAATGGGACCATGTTCACGCTGTTATAACTATCTAATGAGAAATGATCTAATAACTCTGGTTGTAAGGTGGTGTATTTGGGGGGGATGATGGGCCCTCACAGTTTACTAGAAGCTCTTACTCATACAGATACCTTTCTGTTACACAAACCCTCACTCAGTTGTTTCCCTGGTGGGGGGTCTCAGGTCTAAGCCACTTTCCCAGGAATGTTCCTGATCTCTTCCTAGCCACCTCTATTGGGCAACAATCCCACACCTTCTCCAAGGGAGGTCCTGTTCTCCTCTCTGCTCTCTATCTCCCATTGAAGCCCCTTCTGGTTCCCAACTAACATCAGTGTTCTGCTCACAGAGGATCCTGTTGTCAAAAGATTCCTGGCCTGGGACAAGAACCTGAGGGTGTCTGACAAGGTGAGGTTGTTCTCCACTGGGCAGTGTTCCTGCTCCAGCACAGCCTGGATGAGGAGGGAATTCTAGCCCCATGGTCCTTCCCTCTGCCTCCACGTAGAGCCAACAAAATGTGCCAAGTCCTGGCTCCTTTGTGGCTTGTCACATCTCCCTTCAGGACCTAGCAGTTTCCTGCAGACAGGACAGGTGGACCTTGCTTCTTCTTGGGGTGCTTTGGGCTTCAAGCCCAAGTCCACAGTCTTGCATGTCTACCCCCTTTTACTTGTTGTCACCTGAGGTTCTGGGCTCCTCTCCTCTTTGCTCTCCTTGGGACCCCCCATTTTACAGCTTACCCAAGACCCTCTTCACCCAGCTCACCTACATGCCTTCCCTCAAAAGGTCCCCTGAGATCTGGCCCTCCAGTGCACACCTAGGCCTTCTCTCCCCGACTGCTCCAATTGACCTTGATCCTTCCTGTCCTTCCCCAAAGAAGCAGGTCTCCTTACTCAGCTACCATCTCCTAGGAGCCCTCTCTACCCCAGACCTCCATTCTTCTTTCCCCTCTTTCCTTCTCTTCTAGGATATGACCTCTCTGTCTTTCCTCTCTCTCCATCAATACCTTTTGTCTATGGTCATAGCTTATTTTAGCCAGGCTGGCCTCTTCTCCTGGCAGTACCAACGAATCCACTTTCTTTCTGGCCCTGTGAGTATTTGGTCTCCTTCATCAATCAGGATTCATTACTTGGGAGGGTAGAATGGGAGCAGAGGGGCACTAACCTATAGTTTTTCTTTAGCCTCTTTGTCCTGTTTGCTCTTGGGACCTCCTGTTCTCCAGCTTACCCAAGACCCTCCTATGTACAAGAAATTATAGCATTGTAATATGGTTGTTTTTCACACTTCTCCTAGTCAAAACAAACACATGAGCTTCATTAAGGCCAGATTTAAAAAAAATTAAAGAAAACCAAAGGAAACATGAAGCTCACTTAAAAGGAGTGAAGGAAGCATTATGTTCCTGGCAGAGAGACGGAAGGTGCAGCCACATCTGACTGCTCTTCCTTCCTGTAACTACACCAACATTGTTGTCTTCTGCCTCTGGATTTCCAAGACAGATGCCCAATTCCCAGCCCGGCACAGGCACAGTGTAAAGTGCTTCCTTCTGGTCCTTCTTACAGATGGCTTCTCACATTTTTGGCCTTGTACATACCTTCTGAAAATCCTTCCAAGATGGGTCCAACCACCCTTTAGGCCTCTCCCACAACTGTGTTGCTCAATGCTTTCTAGAAAAAGGCTGGAGTCCTTCAGAAGGTGTGTGTCTGGCAGAGATCTCTGGACCAAGGTGTGGTCCTCCGTAACAATTAATAGGGCTGGTGCAGTCCTGTCTGAAGATGGTCCTCTGGGAGTCCATTTTGGGAAGCTGACTCCAAGGGGAGGTCCCTCCTGATTGTGCCTCTGAGGAACAACCTGGTTTCTTTCCCCAGCTACCTGGCCAATGACATGGAGGAGGACAACCAGGCTCCTAAACAAGGCATCTTTCGTTTCCTCTATGGGAAAAGCTACGCCCAACGTCCCCTGTTCCACAAACTGCGCTATCAGTTCATCTGCTCCATGGGCTGGAACAGTAGAGTTTCCAAGGAGGAGTGTGAGGAGGTGGGTGGTGCTGTGTGTGCTTGTGGGGGGAGACGTATGGGCTGATTGGAGAGACACAGGAAGGGGGTGGCTGCAGGTGGGATTGGAAGGGGAGAAACTCTGTAGGTTGTGCACAGAGGGAAGGACTTCCAGGCAGTCATCAGTTAGTTTGTTGCATTTTTTTTTTGTAGTAAACCAAATTTGTATCTCAATTTACTGTATGCAATCTAACAAAAAATTCATGGAAATTTACTAGGTATACATAAGTGATTCAAGTAATAAAAGAAAGTTCCATTTTAGGAAAATGAAGTTCATATCTTGAGAAAAAGTAAAGTACATTAAAAATGTAAAGCCAAATCCAATTTCTATGCATTAAGGGAACTATAGTTTAATAAAGCACATATAAGTGATTTTTTAGATATATATCTTGGGTCTTTAGTATATATTTATGTATAGATAGATTTAACAATTGTAGTCTATGGTTTATTTTAAAGGAAGTGGATAAATGAGATGAAGGAATTTTCATACTATAATAAAATTATTCACAAAGCAGAACATTTTATGGTGAAATACTTTTTCACTCATACAATTTTTGCACAATTAATTACTACTTTGGATCTAACTAAAATTATAGTTTAATTATTTGTCTGGAACACTGAGATGTACTCTTTAGTTTTAAACAAAAATCATACCAAAACTACTGACCTGCCAACCTTATGGTTATGTTGAAACTATAAAAGGATTTTAATGATTAAAAATATATTTAACGGGGCTGGGGATGTGGCTCAAGCGGTAGCGCGATCGCCTGGCATGCATGCGGCCTGGGTTTGATCCTCAGCACCACATACAACAAAGATGTTATGTCCACTGAAAACTAAAAATACATTTAACTATGTAACTAAGTTGTTTTGATATGGATCCAAGCATAAATATCAATAACCATTATTCCACTCAAATCAGAGACAATAATAAAGTTGTCTCTTGATAAAATCAACTTTTCAAGTTTGATTTAGATGGGACACCAAAATGATTGTATCTGTCAAAGCATCTTCACAAAATTTTCTAAACAGCTACCATAATTTACTTATCTGATATAGAATAGGAAAGTATACTTAATTTTTATTGAAAAGAAAGCTGAAAATATGATGTCCCACATCTTATATAATATATGCTCCTGTGTTATCCATGTTAGTAATAAGTGAAATAATGTTGTGATATCCACATATAGCTACTTCATTTCTCACCAGGCTAAATAAATCTAATAGTTACACCTTGATATGTCATTTGCTTTGTAGCTGACAGAACTTAGTTAATAGAATCAAGCTTCTCAACATTATATTTGTTGAGATATTTGTAGACTGTTGAATCATGGTGACTAGAAAGTCTATATCAAAGTGAAGTAATTTTAAGGAATGGGAAAATAAATTAACTTTAACTTCAAAACACTCAATATCCTGTAAAGTCATCAGCTTTGGTGGGGGCTCTTTTTCTTTCCAAGATTCAAGCTTATGATCCGGAGCTCTGGGTGTGGGGCTGAGATCACACCCTCATTGTCTAGAAGTCCTGGTACCATGGAGGCCTGAGGAGAGGGACAAAATTCTGTATCCCTGGCCTGATGACAGGGTCACTTATTGTTTATTTAGGACACTCAAGGACCTAACTTCTTGATCCAGTCCTGTCCATCTCCCACCCACAGCCACCTCTGTAGAGGTGAAAAAGACTGAATCTCCAAGTCAGCTTCATGGTTTCAAACCCCAACCACATAGATGACCTCTGAGAGGTGTGCTGGGTGCTCTGACGTTGCTCATCCAGACCTGAGAGAGAACAATTTGTCACACAGGACGCACTAGAAATCCTTAACCCAGACAATTTGGGCCCAAATGTCGGCGGGTGAAAGGTTGATCTTGGTCTAAAGTGAATGAATGTCCTTTAGCCATGAATATCTCACTCACCTGTAAATTGTCTTTTTTACCCTCTTCTTTTAATTCATCTTGGGTCATACATTCCTTAAGAATACGAAGCATGGAGATGACTTATTCATAGGATTATCATAGTTTTAGTACATATGATTAATGTTGCTTATTTTATCTATGTTTATTTTAAATAGTTTTGAGATAGATGGTGTTTGGAAAATTGTTATTTCTTATTAGTTTTGTAATTAGTGTTATAACTGTTTGTGTACATAATTATTTCTCTGAAGTTTTTAATCTATTTTATCTGTTACTTTTATATCTCAGTGGCATTACCCCACAGTCTAAAGTTTCATTTGATATTCAATCATCATTATTGTGAATATTGAGCTGCTGTTATTTAACTTGCCTTGACATGTTTTTCTGTCTTTTTAAAGTATGGATTGTAAAAGATCATATGTGCTATGTGATTTTTTTCAGAGGGGCCTATGTTCTTTTGAAGAACATAGCTCAGTGCATTTGTAGGGAAATTGAATAAAGGTGAAAATCTTTCTACCTTAATGATACATATGATCATATTATTCTAGATTGTTTGTTGTCAAATGATACTGTGGTTTAACAGGGTTTTTTTTAATATTTATTTTTTAGTTTTTCGGTAGACACAACATCTTTTATTTTATTTGTATGTGGTGCTGAGGATCGAACCCAGTGCCCCACGCATGCCAGGCAAGTGCGCTACCGCTTGAGCCACATCCCCAGCCCAACAGGGTTGTTTTTAATTAACCAAATTTCTTACCTGTGGAGAAAAACACCTCAATTATTTTTCATCTTGGAAAACAGAACTTTCTAACTAGAGTCTAGAAGCAGGAAACACAGGGAGGACATTGAGAGAGACAACACAGGAAGAGTGAAAGAAAATTCTAGGAGAGCTGTATAACAGCTAAATCCAAATCAAGAAGAGGCATCTCATGCCTTCCTGGTAATGGTCCAAGGATGGGGGACACACAGGGAATGGTAGACTTTGCTACTGGAATCACAATTTGAGTCTTTTCCACAACCTATTTCTAGTTTTACATAACAGAAGGAAACCCAAAGGGTCTTGTTGAAATAGAAACTGGTGAAGGGAAATGAAGGTACTAGGGCAAGTTGTGAGATGAATGAGATGATAGGAAGAGCTCAAGCTGGTAAATAAATAGGCACAGAGAGGAAAGAGCTAACAGTGTGCGCACTGAATGACTGCAGACAATCATCTTGGGAGATGGGAGCTTCAGAGAATACGGGAGCAGCTGTGGAAAGAAGCAGGTGAAGCAAATTATTAGAAGAAAAACAAAGCTAAAGAGAGGTGGCAACAGAGCCAGTGATGAGATGTGGTACGGGGTTGGAGAGGCAAATGGAGATGATGTGAAGAGGCTGGAAAGTACCTACATGCAATGAGCTTAAGGCTGGTTGAATGTGTTACAAGAGGGATGGTGGTTGGGTAATTGGAGCAACTAAAGAGGTAAAAGTTCCATGAAGGGAAGTCATTAAAGACAGGTACCGTGGGCTGGGATTGCGGCTCAGAGGTAAAGTGCTTGCCTGGCACGCATGAGGCACTGGGTTTGATCTTCAGCACTACATAAAAATAAAATAAAGGTATTAAAAATAAATGTTCTTAATTTTTAAAAAAGCAAAAAACAAACAAACAAAAAAGGGCACTGGGCAATGCAATTCCAATGCTGATCAATTACATAGAAGTCACATGCTACAAGTTGAGCCCATTGGCTCCCTCTACACTACCCTGTCTTCAGAAACCAGCTATAAGCTCCAAGTTTTCCAGTGTACTTGCCCTTCTCACCAATGGCTGCAATTTCAGGGCTACCCTGATCCTATTGTATAATTCTCTATTACATCTAACTAAGCTTAGGAAAGCATAAATAAAAAGAAATAGGTGTCAAATAAAAAGAAATAGGTGTCAAATATAAATGGTTACTTTTCACCTTTCATGCTCACACACAAGATGGCTGACACAGTACCTATAACAACTGCCAGAGGACCATGAGGATGATCAAGTAACTGCTCACCAGGATTCCATCAGCACATCTAGTTTCCCTTTATATGTGACATACAAAACTAGAATGCCAATCCACCTGCCCAGAAACAGGGGGGTGAGAAATGAAATCAAAGGAACTGTTTTATAAAACATGATACAAAGAAGTAAAGGGAGTTAATATTTCCCAAAATAAGGTAAGTCTGACTGTGGAATATAATTTTCATCAGTGAAAGATACACTGTCAACTAAAGAGTATGATTTTCTTTCCTCCCCCCTCCCCCACTTTCTAGGCTTATATTATTGTTCTTCTTCAATGCCTGCTGAATCCATTTAAATCCCTTTCAGACCCTAAGCTAGCAAATAAAATGTCAGCCTGCTGGAAACTGCCCATCCTGAATCAGAAATGTGCAACTGGTAAACCAACAAACTATGTTTGTTAAATTACTAATAAGAGAATTTGTACATCTGTGGATTAACCCAACCAATACACACTGAAACTGAATCAAGAGGAAAAGAACTAATGGAAATGCAAACATGTTCATGGTGAGCACTAATAAAACTCAAAAGGAGAAGTCCTGTGGCCTTATAACTATGATTTTGTAACTCACTACAGAACAACGAAAGACAGCACTGAACAACACGAAGTCATAATGACCCTGACCCATCCCTACAGATATTTTAGCAGAAGGCAGTGCACCACTTGGCAAGATTGCCCTATTAAAGATTCAAGCCCAGACCTTTAAGAAGTGAAAGGGGGGGGCGTGTTGCAGAATTAAGCTCAGAGGCGGAGTGCTTGTGTTTTTCATCAGTTTTGTGCTATCAGGTCTCATGTCTACAAATAATTATAGGGAAATGATCTCTGAAAAACCTGACCCTGAAATCTAGAAAGTTCCTGAAAGTAGCTCCTAACATTCCTTGTTTTGAAATCCCTTTCCCACTCAGAATCTACTTTTTCAGAACCATGATATTATTCCTTGCCCACACCCTTTGGGAGCGGACTTCATGCGCCAATGCCGCTTCCCACTGGTTCCACACGCCAATGCCGCTTCCCACTGGTTCCACACTCCGGAACAACTCATATATTGTGGAGTCTATCTGTTACTCAAGACATTCTGCTACCCGGGTTCAAGAATGGCAACGAAGGGCGTTATTTTCCAACTTTCGTCATGCAGGGCAGGAGCTCTGCTCTTCCATGTAGAGTGAAAACCACAAGTGCACGTGGATCGAAGAATTGGAGACCATGGATTCTGGTCGGCAATTATGGCCCGGCTCCCCTGTGCCAGCTCTCAACGCCACACCCCGAGTGGTGCTGTTGATGTGACCATGGACACAGCCTCCCCTCTCCAGCCTCAGTTTGACGTTTGCATAATGAGGACAGCAACCTCACCTACTTGCTTCGCGGTGGTAAGGACTAGACAAGGGAACATAAGGGAAGCGCGGTGACAGTGTCAAAGTTCGGCCGGCTGGCGACTCTTTATCACTGTCTCAGGTGACCCCGCTCCTACTTAGTGCGGACAGCACTCGCAGGAACTTCTTTTAGAACGGAGTGAAGACCAAGTAATCGCTGGAAAAGTCCCAGCGCTGGCCGAAGGGCACCATCCCTGGAGTGCATGGAGCCTCTCCCCACGCGACACCACTCTTGAGGCATTAGCACTCCACAGGAAAACCAGCTCGCAACTCCGCGCAGGCGCACTGCCGCCATGCAACTACTCCCCCCGCCCCCTACGCCTGTGCAGGCCCCATGACCAGGTGGATAGTGTTCTTTAAAAAAGAAATTAAAGCCGGCTCTGAGACACATTCCTGTGATCTCACGGGCTTGGTAGGTTGAGAAAGAAGGATCCTGGGTTCAAAGCCAAGCCTTAGTACAGTGAGGCGCTAAGCAACACAAAATAGGCCTGTGGATGTGTCAACAGTCCCTGAGTTCAATTCCCCAATACAAAAAGAAAAAAAGAAATCGAAATCTTTCTTTCAAAATGAACCATCCAGATCAAAGCATAGCTATTTAGAAGGCAAAGCACCCTCATGCCTTTTTTTTTTCATGAGGAAAATGTTACGGATATAGAGGAGTTTCCCGAAACCTAACGACTCACCAGATCTCTTTAACAAGGGATAAAATCCTGATATTCTATTTTTCCAAAAGTAAGGCTTTTGGAAAAATGAAGATCTTTGATATCCATTTCTGCTTTGCTTTTAGGTTAACTTCACTATTTGCAAGTTACAAGAAGCAGTCTGAAAGATTTGTTACTTCATCATTATATTCAAGGGGAAAAGCATCTTGAATCTTTCATTTTTCGAAATTAATTCATAACTTCCTCTATTTTTCCATTTAGTACTTCATTTTCTTTGATTAGAGTCAATCCTAATTTGGAAAAAATTATTATCTTTGCATTTTTTTGCCATTCTTGCCTACTGAATCTGGATAATTGATAATTGCTGTGAATATACTATGTATACAACCAGAGATATGAAAAATTGTGCTCTATATATGTTGTAGGAATTGTAATGCATTCTGCTGTCATATATAAATTTAAAAATTACATTAAAAAAAAAGAATTCTGTAATGTCCTGAGATCTTCAGTTCTCAGATCCTGAAGTTAACTTTGTTTCAGACAATTTCCTTATGAGAGACCCATTCATGTCACAGAAACCTTATTAGGAGAATAAATAGGTTTTATCTTTTCATTCTATTCTGGCAGCAGAGTCAAATGTGGCGTTGGGTTGACTAAGACACCCTTTAAGTGCTGGAGGTGAAAGTAGGACAGAGGGGCTGGGGATGTGGCTCAAGCGGTAGCCCGCTAGCCTAGAATGCGTGCGGCCCAGGTTCGATCCTCAGCACCACATACAAACCAAGATGTTGTGTCTGCGAAGAACCAAGAAAAAAATAAATAAATGTTAAAATTCTCTCTCTCTGTCCCCCTCTCTCTCTAAAAAAAAAAGTAGTCCAGAGACTTGGAGTGCTAGTTTAGTATGTTATAGCTTGAATATGAGGTGTCCCCCAAAAGCTCTTGAGTTAAAGTAACAATGTTCACAGATGAAAAGATTAGATTGTGAGAGCTGTAATTTAATCAGTGGTTCAATTAACTTGATGGGAAATAATTTAAAAGGACTACTGTCCTATGTGTTAAGTGTAGGCAGATGAGGAATGACTGGAGAAAATTGGGGGGCGGGGAGCGGTGACCTGCCTTTGGGTTTTATGTTTTGTCCCTGGCACCTTGCCCACTGTGCTTCCTGTGTGCAGTGAAGTAACACCACACCTTACCACCACTGATGTTCTGCCTCACCTGGAGTAAAGAGTAATACAGTTGGGAGATCATGGACTAAGTAAGATCCCCTTAAATCATAAGCCCAAAATAAAATTTCCACCTCTAAGTTGGGTTTGTCAGACATTTTGGTTAGATGGAAAGTTAATAGGATTATTAAAAAAACTATCCTTGCTTTATCATTTAATGAGTGCCATGTTGCACCTAGCTTTTAAATTGCAGTTATAAAAGCAGCCATTACTTCAAACCTGAAGAAACACCCAAAGAACCTATACCAAGATTGTACACTGTGCCTGGGCACAGTAGGACACATAGGTAATCTCAGTGAGTTAGGAGGCTAAGTCAGAAGGATCTCAAGTTTGAGGTGGCCAGCCTCCGCAACTCAGTGAGGCCCTATGCAACTTAGACCCTTTTTAAAGAATTCAAATTTTTTTTTAAAAGGGAATGGAGATAGAGCTCAGTGGTAAAGCAACGGTTTGAGTCCCGATACTGAAAATAGAAAAAAAAAAAAGAGTCTATACTATAACCCAGATTTTCCCCCAGATGGGGGAAACCCATCCCAGAGTTCAAGTTCCCTGGAAATTCCATGTATGACTGACCCCTAAAGAGAAGAAAGAGCAAAATCTTCTTGAAGCCCCAATCCATTCACCATTTAACCTGAGGAGCCATTTGGGAAGGCACCAAGAGTCAACTACTACTCATCTATTCCTCTCTGACAAGTATTTTGAGCATAACTGACCAGTGTCATTAACTGGACAGGAAAGGCTCTTCTAGTACCAGTTGTCAGCCAGCTTTGGGGGGTGCTATCTCTAAAGAATAGGAGAGGAAAGAGGGTCTTGGAAGTGATTTATATGTACCAAGCTTGGTTTTGTGAGCTTGACCAACAGGGGCTTTTTGTTGTTAAATTTGTTCTTTTTAGATATACATGACAGTAGAGCTGACATTATATATACATGGAGTATAACTTATTAGGATCCTATTCTTGTGGTTGTACATGATGGAAAGTTACACTGATGGTGTATTCATATATGAACATAGGAAGGTTATCGCCGATTCATTCTACTCTTTCCTTTTCCCATCCCCCCTTCCTTCATTCCCCTTTGTCTAATCCATTGAACTTCTATTCTTCCCTCCCCCATTCCAAAACAGGGGCTCTTTTCAGCCTCATAGAAAGCCTGTGGCAGTAATTTTCCACGTAACAGGAGAACAAGACTCATGAGATTCCATGCCCAGAGAGCTGCAAGTGCATTAACACAAATCTGATCCCAAAGCTCATGCTTTTCTTATTTACAGTCCCCACAAATCACTATGATTTCTATCAAAATTATTTCTCTACCTATGCTCTTGGAAGAATGTAAGGCAGCAAGAAACCTGATTCAAACACTCCGAATGACCCGGACAGGAATGGATCAGTGTCCATGAGTTTTAATAGTTATCACTTCACAGACACATAGGCCAAGAGTGTAATTCAGTGGTAAAGTACTTGCTTAGCGTGGGCCAAAGCTCTGGCTTCCATCCCCAATACTATAAAAAGAAACAAAGAAAATACACACATTACACACATAAAACACCTCAATGAAAAATACTAATTACCTGATAATCTTTATTCAAGAAGTGAAAGAAAACAGTGCTTCATAAGGCGTGTCAGACAAGGAAAGGCCTTTGTTTCCAACACATGAGGACTTGGCCCAGTCCCGCACTCCAGCTCAAGCACCCTCCTTAATAAAATGTCATCCTGATTCACCATAAAATGGGGTGACATCTTAGCCAATTTGATATTTACTTAGGAATAAGGATCTCAGGAGGCTTTGACATGTTGAGGTTCCAGATCTTGTCCTGTGCTTGGTGCTTGTTCTGTGCATCCCAACTTATCTGATTTGCATGCGCAAAGACAGGAATTGGCCCCACCCACCCTACCCCACCCCAAGTCTGGGCAGCAAGCAGTCTGCTTGACCTACTGCCACTCGATGTCCCACCTTTCCTCCTTACTCTCAGAATTGTCCCAAGGAGGATGAAAACAGAACACAGCCACTAAACCAAGATTAGGATGCTGGGAAGACAGGTAGACTGCTACACAAAGCAAAAAACATGAAGCAAGAAGGGAAAATAAAATGAGGGTTAAACTAAGCAATTATACTGCCAATTTAGAAAGACATTATAACCCACACTAAATGAACATACAACTCATCCAGCTCCCTTCCTCCACAAGACATTTTAATGCAGGAAGCAAAATACTACATCCTCCTTGTGGTAAGCACTGTTAGTATTCAACACTTTCATACTGATGGGGCATCATATGAAAACAAAGTCATATACTTTTGCATAAATCAATAAAAAGTCAATATAATGGCAAAATCAGAAAGAAAAATTCTAGTTTCTCCACAGAAAATAGAAAGATTTAAGATTGTTAAGTGAAATGTTTGCTGCCAAATTAAAAACAAATCATCCCAATACAGGATGTTCAAAAGCCTAATTCACGAAAAAGACAAATTTATTCTGTATTTAATAAAATGTTTATTTGGGATAACATAAGTCATGCAAGAGCTCAGTTAAAAAAAAATAAGGAATGGTAATTGGTATTGTCAATTTAAAAAAATTGTAAATCACTTTACCACCCAAGAGTGATAGGAAAAACCATTTGAATCTGAGCAAGGACATGGTTGTGGCAATCTTTTGGGAACTGCTGAGAGATAACAAATTGTGTTCTGTTCCTCAGAGGAATAGAGCCTCATATCATTACAGTCCCTCCCATCACACACTCGGAGGGCAAGCAGTCCAGAGCCCCTGCCCATCAATTCTTCGGCTCTCTTGGGATAGTCCCAAACTGAGACTAACAGTCTTAGGGGAGGAGGGCAGGCACCTTTGGCGACTCTTAGTTGACACCCCATCTACATTCAGAACTTTAAAATTTGGTTCTGAAAGACTTGCAAGTCACCATCACTAACCTTAAATGTAGTGTTGTGATGTCCATGGAAGGATTTCCACGGCTGGCAGAAATAAATTTGGACAGATATACAAAATTCAACATAGTGTCTCAGATTTCAAACAAAAATAACTCATCTTTTTGGCAAAAAATAAATATAGTGGAATGCAAGTTTGATAGATGTTAGAATAGATAATCTACCAACTGCCAAGGAGTACAATTTCATTGCAGACACAATCAACAATTTCCAAGAATTTTTAAAAATAAAAAAGTTTGCACTTATTCCTCACAAAAAATCATCACTTTTGGAACTATCCCAATTAAACTACACACTGAATTTATTAATACAGCATTAAGTTTCTTTGTGTAAAAAAATCTTTGTACATAGTAATAAAAAAAGATAAGGCAAGATGCATTAAACAGAAACCTTCTGGTTCTTTTCCTCTGCTTTCTTACAGAGCCACTGATGACTGTCTGCAACAAAAGAGTTAAGTTTCTGATTTTCCGCATCAAGCATCTCATGCCTTTGCTGTGGTTAAGAATTCTGTCCACGCACCCTGAAGGACAGAGGCTGTTGATGGTCTTTGGCACTTACGCTGGCAAACTGAGCTTCTTTCCCTTGAGTACTAGAATTGTAAAGAGAGGAAGAGAAAATGTTACTGATATTGACAACCTCAGTTTCCTTTTTCTCACGCTTAGAAAGCTGTCGTACACAAGATTCTACCCAGTAAATACAAGGATATAAGCAATTACATTAAAAAATATAAATTCAACTAAAAGTACCACCAAATTTACATCTACTCTTTGTTATGATTTCCCCCCCACATCAACATATATTAAATATGACTTATGAAAGGGGTCTTGAAATATTGAATATTAAAGTTGGCTGTAGGGGCTGAGGATGTGGCTCAAGTGGTAGCACGCTCGCCTGGCATGCGTGCGGCCCGGGTTCGATCCTCAGTACCACATACAAACAAAGATGTTGTCTCCACCAAGAACTAAAAAATAAATGTTTTGGGAGGCAGAGGCAGGAAGATGCCAAGTTTGAGGTATCTTAGCAAGAACCTCAGCAACTTAGTAAGACTCTATCTCAAAATAAAAAGTAAAAAGGGCTAGGAATGTAGCTCAGTGGTAGAGTGCTCATAGGTTCAATCCTCACTACCCTCCTACATACATACACATACACATACACACACACACACACACACACACACATACACACACACGATAAATATGTTCCTTTATGGAGCAAGTCTACCATGAGGAATGTTACTATACAGCAGGGATACTTAGGTTGGAATCCATGGTTATAGCTTTAGGTACTCCTGAATTCCCCACAACAATACACATGAATTTGTGTGCATATGTATATATACTTTTTATGCGCAAGGACCATAGTTTTCATCAGATATTTGTAAAGTTCACATATCCTATATTCATGCAAACATGAAACTATAAATGTACATATAAGGAGGTTGATTTAAGCACAGAATTTTAATAGCAGCAAGTTAAAAAAATAAATTATAGTGTATACAACACATAAC